TTTCCGTGATTCCCGAGTTAATAGTTTACTCGCCAAAATTTTCACGAGGCTGTAGGTGATACTCAAGAGCGCCGGGACGCTGAACTTGAATGGGCAAGGTTGAGCGTGGGTAGGGGGTCATCACCCTAAAATTTCAGCCTCCTAGACTCCGTGGTTCTCGAGATATTAATTTACCCCTAAAAAACTTCCACGAGGCCGTACGTGTTACCCGCGGGTACGGGAAGGCTGAATTTAAATTTGCCACGTCACCCGATGGCGGGGAACAATATATCAAAATCTCAAAAGTGCGGGACAAAATGTGGGACGCACGCACGCACACACACACACACACACACACGCACACACACACAAACACACACACAGACAATCCCGTGACAATATGTGTTTTTTACTGCTGTTACACAGCACAAAACGCATAAAAATGAGTTTCTTGAGGAAAAGCATCAAAAAACAGTCACATCGGCAAGCATGCTAACGAAGCTGAGCAGAGCCGTAAAATTTGATTCGCTAATGCGTCCTGTACTTTTGATCACTTCGTCAAACAGAGCCATTCGCATTGCCTTCAGCATATCTGTTTCCGAAACGTAATATAACTCGCGACACCTGAATATAGTAAGTTCATGTACTTCATAATTGTGCAGAGTCGCAGCAAAATGCTCTCGAATTGTAGCTAACTCTTGAATTGAATTTTTTTTCCTAGATTTGGAGATTAAATGCGGGTAAGTGTCGTAGAAAACTGATTTTTGTGTGTATGTGTGTTTTTTTTTTTTTTTTTAATAAAGCATTTTAGCGCCATTTCATATACATGCGTGTTTGTGAAACAGACATTAACTTATACAGTTGTAATTACTGAAATGTTATATATATGCATATATGTATATATATTAAAAAGTTAAATTATTAATAACATTGTTGATATAATATATTTCAGAATGACGGTTGCATAGCAGTTTCTGAATAGTGAAATTTGCTCAGAACGTTTGGATTCACACTGGCATTAATTAAACGTAGAGGCAAAATAAATAGTTGTAGCTCAAGCATTTGTAAAGTGTTGAAATTTCAATATGTCATTAATCAATTTTGTCCTGACAGCGTTCAGAAGCTGATTTGCTGTGCATGAAAAGTTCTGAGAAATAAAATACCTTTCCTGATACTTTTCGCACTGTATAACCGGCCGGTGTTGCTTGATACGCGGTATCTTCGGAAAGTGGTGATCATGGGGCTCGCGATGGGCCGATGTTATTGCCATTATTTCTCGTGAAGAATGCGCGCCGTATCTGCAGTTTATAAATTAACGCTTCATTCTAGCTATCTGCTGCCTTTGATTCTGCTGAGCAACGACACAGAAAGGGGAATATCTGCTTTGTTGGGTTCTACTCGGATAAGTTTTTCGAAAGTCCGTATTAAGGCATATTGATTTTATGTCTCAATTAAAATTGACATTTTAAAAGACTATTTGTGAAAAAACTTTAAAATACCCCGCACTGTAATATCTCTTTAGCTTTTCTGGTGAAAAGAAAAATTTATGATAAATCCTCAGCGGACGAGGACAACTGTATTACTGTGCTTTGTTTAAGAATTTTTGCACACGACAGCATCATTGCTGTGTATTTCGGCTAATCTTGACTGTGAAGCTGGTTTGGTACAGAATTGGAAAGATCATTGTCTCGTTAGACGAATTGAGCAGTTTCACTTTTACACAGAAAAACGCTTCACTACTAGTTGTATCACTCTATAGCCCTCAAAATTGTGCGCTAAGCATATCATTTCTAGGAATCCTGCCATATCACTTATAAGCTAAACAATGTGTTTCTTTTTTTTCTTATTTTCTAATTCACTGCTAGAAATCTGCTTTCTTTATTCATCCTGTACCACTTTCTCAAAGCATTCTGATTTGTAAAGTGCACGTGCTAAAGTTTAAAGGACAGACTTTCGAATTCTTGCAAACTGCTTAAATTATAAGTAAATCTAAGCGAATTGTTTAAATTTTTGCAAATTGCTTAAATTATAAGTAAATCTGAGCAGTTTTCTCAACTGGGTATGGAATTAGCATGCACAATGGGCTAGAGAATTGAACGGTCTGAACTGGCCGATTGATAAGTTTCTCAAATGAGCTAAAATACAATATTCACCAAGGATAAAATTCAGGGAGTTTTGTAGAACATAGTGCTGCACAGTGTTTTAAAATTGGTCAAATATTTAGCGCAAAACATTTTAAAGATCAGACGGCATTTGAATGAATTTCATGCAGTGGCTGTGAAGCTAAGGCATTTCCGCTTTGCAAGCAAGCAAAACACAGCATTTCTGCTCTACAAAAAAGGGGCACAACAGCGACCGTTATCAGCTACATCTTCAAACCACAACCAACATGTGAAAAAGAAAAGGTGGAAAAAAGTGGAAAACATACGGGCTTTGGTAGATGGGTGCATCGGTACCACGCTGAAACACCAGCACATAGGGCAAGTGGGTGACGGTGAACGGCCGGATTACGGGTGCAGGTAGAAGAACTCTTCGCGAAAGCACTTTATCTTGTGCTGGGAACAAATCCAGTAGAAATTCTACACCCACAATATCGAACTGTTCGAATAAGACCGCAAGATATTTGTGTGAATCATTCCTACGAGACCATGAATTCTTCAGCGCCACTGCACTAAATTATTTATTCATTTCTGGAAAAATATGATGAAAAATGAATAACAATTAATATTATAACAGCTGCGGGCACCTCGCGCAATTCCAAGTCAATAAGAACTGGGCAGAATTTGCATTCGTTTCATTTCTATGGTTTCTTTCAAAGGTTTAGTCTTATTTCTGGAGAGGCCCAAAATACAGAAGAATTGGGAAGTTGACAGTTATATTAATGGTAAGATGAAATGCGACGATGCAAAAACAGCTAATCAAGATAACAAAGTAATTATCTGGGAGAAATCATTGGCAATTAGTAAAAGCAATTTTCTCAGATCGTCATATCTGTTAATATATTTTATCGCCTGTTTTGCGCAACCACTAACAAAGTTGAAAGTTGGGCCAGACCTTGACTGCTACGTAATGAAAGAGGATATCGGCTAATGAACTTCTTATTAAAGCTAATAAAATTAAAAATTTTAGCCTCATGGTTCTGTAAAGGCAGGTTTTGTCGTCAGCGGATCTTAACTAAACTAGTGCAAAAGTATGAGGGACTTTAATGGTCTTTTTATGCATGAAATATCTTGGCTACACATAAGTTTATCTGCACATAAGGCTGGTATATGACTTACTGCCACAATCACTTCATAATGCGCTAATCAAACACGAAACAGAGCGTTGCAAAAATGGTTTATCAATACGATTCAACAAAAAGCCGCTAGAAGAGATAAAAATGAACTGATAAGAGGAGACAATGGCAGTTACGGGACAAGGTTGAAAAGAACGCATAAACTGACACGTATTCGACTTTAACAGATCTTGACGATTTCTTTTATGCTGTAGGTCCCCCTTGGACGTTGTTTAAAGAAACTCGCTAACCATGCCAACGGTCCCGCATTTTTCACTTATTGGCTTTTTAGATTGTCGTAAAAAGCTTCGCAAATCGTTAGTGCTGTTAATGCGGTTTTTGGATTGCCCCTGAATCCATAACTGTGGTTCATGTTGACCGGGAGAATTATTTTCCTGGCCGCTCTTACCGGGATTTCGAGCTTTGATTGGGTCTGTTAGAGACAACAGATGAGAACCCGTGGGTTTGACAAGAGCTAGTTTTTTTTTTCGAAATTAACATAACGCAGAAAAAATATGATACGATTTTTATACGCTAAATTCTTATATTTTGGGAGAAGACCGGCTCTGTTCTTTTCTTATTTCCGACCCTAACCCTTTAACTATAATTATGTTGTGATAATGATCTTTGCGTGGATCGTCCCCACAATTTAAACAAGTAAAATAGTAATAAAAAAGGCTCTCATAAATTTTTTAAAGTCTGGAACTGAAGTCAAGGATTAGGACAGAGTGGAGGTTTAAAATCAAATTTCAAACTATTCACATCAAACTGTTTGATAAATTATCAGGATTATCAACTTTAGCAAACCCGCCTAGATAGGCAGTTTGGAAATATGAGACGGAGATGTTACTGAGACACTCCAGTTGAAGAATACCGATAGCTATGTCAGGCTTTCGGCCTACAAGGGAAATTTTGACTTAGTGATTTCGACAAATTAATCTTTTTAAATTGCCAGCTTGTGACAATTGTCTCCGGATTGTAATTAGCCTGGACTTTGACCCAAGGCGAAGTTAAAATAAGAACAGAGTCATAGGTAAAGCTAATGTAAGGATTAGGGCCTAATTTCAGATCATTTTTCTGAATGACTTGGTAAATTTTCGAAATTTTCACCCCCCTGTAGTTTAATTTTCAAATTGCAAAATCACTCTGAACTTTGGCCTGGCAAGTTAAGAAACGGAAAGATATGTAGTCTGATGTCAGAACTGTTGTTGCGTAAACATTCGAGGATATTTGCCGATTCTAACTTTTCTGGTTTTTGTTGTTCAGGAGCCAATTTATTCGGACAAATAAAAACACATTATGTGCATAGGCCCGCGTTACAGTGCGTTTTTATTTGCATGAATAATTTATGCAAAAAGCATAAAAATTGTTCCCTTAACACATTAGCCGTCATATGATCGCAAAATTTCAAAGGAGAATGTGACTCAACTGCCCATCGAAATCTGACAAACAAACACCTTTGAGCGGAATAAGGATAAAGCGGAAGAGTAAACAAGCAGCAAAAATTGAGGAAAACCCGGTGTGCTTTCTGTTCATTCGTTTTCCGATCAATTGAGTTTTGAAGTTTTTCTGTGCCAGCGAAGTGCAGTCACGAAACTGATGACCAAATCCATTAGGTGAGGTTAAGGAACAGCCGAGGTACTCTGGTGCTAAGGAGCAGCCGAGGTACTCCTTAGTACCGTTTTTTTGCGAAAAATTGTCTCGAAATGAATTCGGTTGCCACACACATGCACTTTGTAAACGCACAGGTAAGTCATTCAGGATTAAAGTTACCTGTCAACTGTTAGATGTGTTAAATCGGGCCAGTCGGCATAATGATATTGCTGATACTCATTTCGGACAGCTTGCGTAAGCTGGCTTTTCATTTGCGACAATGACTGCTTGGGCTCAAGCTTTACCGCATCCATCCGGTTTCGTGCGTACCGAGGATAGTACTAAATTGACGAACTTTACGAGGAGAAAGTATATACTATCACGATGTCTGCAGTGATTCTTTTTAAATCTATTTGCATACATCATGATTGGTGGTCTCTACGGTGCCAAACATTTTTGGGAGGGTTCTCAAATAAATCTCTTAAAAAAAAAAAAAAAAAAAACCATCATCGGTTTTGCCAGAGTAGTTGCTTTTGACAAAGCGCCTATTACTCGATCATTTCCGAGTACTTATATTTTTGAAAGGCTTTGATTTTAACTGTAGGACAAAGTGCCCAAAGTAAACTGTTGCCCACAGTTTCAGTTTCACGCATTTTATTCTACTCTTTTCAATAAATAATTAAGTGGACAGTTAAATTTACTGCAAGTGTCAGTCAAGGAGTGGACATACGGACCTTAATCATAGGATAGCCGATGATTCCCTGCTCGCTGCACGTTTTTTGGTTGACCACATCAGCGCAGTTGATTGCTGCCACGGTAACAACTTTTCCCCACTTATCTACCGATAACGCAAATGTCAAATAGTGTGGCGCGAACGCACGGCAGTGTCCACACCTTCAAATCTCGTATTACTGCGACAACTTAGCATCCTAAAGCGAATTGCCTTTTGTAAAAAGTAGAAAAAGGACCAGATTGAACTTAATAATAACTAAGATATATCATGATGTTGACCAACCGAGAGTTTCAGGAATGGTCACTGACAAAATTGGACCGTAGCGCTCGAAGCAAAGTCGTATGAAATTTATGAGCGTGGTAATTGTGTGTCCAAAGGCAAATTTATTAAGAGTTGGATGTAACGATGGATTACCAGTCGGCGTAGAATTCGACCACGAATGCGTGGTCCTGGTTGAACACTGTATCTTGAAAGCTAGCGTAGTCGAGTTGTACAATAGGATCATAACCAGGTTCGTACAGTGTTGGATTGTTGCCCAACGGTACATAATCCATATTTGCAATGGATCCATGAATTTTGGTTGCTGTTAATAAGAGTACAAGCAGTAATAGCAGCAAGGCAGTCAAACAAAACATGCTTGTGTGAAATCCTGCAACAAAGCAAGAAATATCTGCTCTAGCCATTCCTTGCAGAACTGGTTTCCTGGTTGGACAGCTGGAGACATATATATAGGTGACTACAGTATGGAATTTTCCAAACACCAAAGTACGTTACTTCTTCCTGACACTTGTCGAAGTATCCAGAAACGCCCATTTGCTTCTGCAAACAAGCGGTGCTTAAGTTGTTGGGACAAGAAAAAGGTTAGCAGAAAAAGATCCGAACTCATTTTTTGCTAACTCATGACAGGGAAAACAAATTTAATTGGGTGGCGCTGGATTAGTGCATGAAATCGGCCGAGAAATATGGCGCAAAAGTGAGCCCTTGAAGATATGGTTCCCTAATCCCCGGCTAAGGACTTGATTAAAGTCTTTACCGATGACAGGGCATTATCCCAACAAAACTTGTCAAACACTTAAATCAGTCACGACAATCTGGATGGCGTTACACTATAAAATGGAAAAATCCAGTTAATTTGTACAATAAGCTGCTCATTCTGCGTTCATTAGAACTTAAGTAATAGTTTTCCTACTCATTAAACTGAAAATTTCAGGAAAATACTTTGCGGTCTTTAAATACACAATAACTTGGGAGCTGCCAATTGGAATTAGTTTTCTGTGTATTCGCAGCCTCTTATTCAGTGCCGAGCTGAATCTTCGACATCATAAGGAACGGGACAGGGGCAGAAATTTTTGACACTCAGTGCTTACGAAAAAAAAAAGTCACCAATGAAATATAAGGATCCAATTGAACTATGCGAAATTATAGAGGAAACAGAGGCCCAGGCCAGAGAAGAATGAATAGATTCTAAGAAGGAACACAGCGATGAAATAACAATCGACCGAGGTACCAAGCACATCCTTAAAAGAAAGATGAAGCAGAAGATGGAAACTCTGGAAGCAGTGAATATGTAAGGATGATAGTGTAGTCGACTGTAAAAAAGTGGCCGGAGAGTGACGTAAGGAAAAATACTGTTCATCGAAAAAAAACAAAATAATTGGTCAGTTAAACACCTGCAAGAATAAGAGAACACAAAACTGGCCCAGAATTTGCCGTTTTATAAGTATTATTAAAGCCATTCCACCAAAGTTCGTGCCACAAAACTTTGTTGGGATAGATTTGATAATACTGATCTTAGATGACTTAGGTGTGGCTAACAAAGATAACTTCGGTTCGACGCATAAAGTTGGTTCAGTGTAACAGACGCGCAAAATTTAGTCAATTAACTGGCTAGGATAAATTCGGTTGAAAGCATTTGCAATACTGGTTTTGTATCTCGCCAAGTAATTTACGTCAGTATTGCAAGACGTGCATGATTAAGTTAGCCTAAGCACACAAACTGCGGATTTTGAAATTATCCCAAAAGGGTTTTTTCCCTCAGTTTTACGGGTATTATTAAAATATCCACGACGTCTGAGAAGCATGGAATTCCTGGTGAAAGAAAATCACAATGAAAAAAAGATGGAAAGAAATGAGGCGCGTAATGTTTTCTAGTGATGCTGCAAACCTGATTTTTTCCATTCCTCCAGATCTGTATAGTGAGGGTTCAAAAGCCGAATTTAAAACAAACAGTACAGATTTGTTATCAAAAATTCACATCTTCCTGAAAAAATTTGATTTTTACTATTCTGTGCAATAAACACGAGATTTGATTTAAAGTAATAGCTGGCTAAGTCAAAAGGACAACTCGAACATACGTTCGTGTCATGTCTGTGAATGGTACAATGCAAGCCAAGAAAAAAAAATTGACCTGGTGATGTGGCAAGATTAACGAACAAAAGCATGCAAAGTTGAAAGTACAAAAGAAATGCAGTGGAGGGATGTTCCACTAGAACATCTGTATGCAATTACGTAAATGATAGAGCCCCAAAATGAGGAAAAATTTGGAAATTGCCAGTTACATTAATAATGAGAAGCAGGACGATGAAGCAACAGCTGATCGGAGAATCAGAGTATTCACTACTTCATTTATGATTTAAGTTTATCGAATAATAAAAGAATGAAAATGGCTTTCAGCGTTTTTTTGAAAGTCTGCAAGAAAGGCTCATATATTATAGTTTTTTGCAAATTCCAAGAAAAAAAAAATGAATTGCGCTATTGGAACAATGAAATTGCTACCGAATAAGAACTAAAAACCAGGAGGCCAAATTCTTTTGGAATTTTCTTGATGTTTTTTGGCCTGTTTGGCCTAATCGAGCTTTTCTAAAAAAACAGATAAAATGTATACTGTGGTCAAAAGTGGACAAGCAACATTTATAAACCCAGAATATTGAGAGAGACAGCCTAATGCTAGTCATTTGAGCAGGTTTGCCGCGATGTCCTCTCTCGCTATTAGCCAAAAAGCTTCGATGTGTTTGGATTTTGCGGGCAGTGAAATTTGTGTCACATTGTTCAGAGTAGCTACACATCACTGACAATCAAAACGATGCAGAAGTTAAGAGGATTGGAAAGCAGTTGGCCTGATTATTATGTGATCATACAATAATTACGCATTCGTCGCGCATCACCAGGAATCTACTCTTAAATATGTTATTATTTTCTGCTTAATTTTCTATCATAAGGCATTAAAAGTACTTACATGGACAATGAAATTTGTAATCCATGACTGTGAAACTTGAAATTATTGCATTAAAAAGCTTCACTACCGTCCACAGCAAAGTCTGTAACGAAGGAAGCTGGCAGAAGCAGTGGCTGAGAATGGGACACAATAAAAAGCACCTGAAGAGATTGCATTTGCACCCTATTATTATTAGTTTTTTTTGCCGCATTCATAGCTCACGACTTCTTTTTTTTTTACGTTTGTGCACAAGTCAAACAGCTCTCTCGGGCGATCGTGTTTACGATCAACTGCGCCCATATTCATTTATATATATATATATATATATATAT